TTGTTCCACAAGCGAGGTCTGCGGTCTTTATACCTCAAGTGGTCTCACATCAAAGCGGTGTAGCTGAAGGTCTTGAAGATGAACAGCCCCGTTACGATTATTTACTTTGGATTGCCCATGAGACCATCTGCAAAGTGCTGCCAATAGGATAAGTAGGGGTGCTAAGCCGGGATCATACCGTGGCGTAGGAACGGAGCCGCATACGAGCTGCCGGCCGGCCCCCAACCCTGATATTGTTCCGGCCAGCCCTACGACCCGTATTCCAGGTTACGCTGGTTGTGGTTAAGCACAGTCCCATGTTGGACCCGAGAGGTGTATGTCACGCTGTTGGGCGCTATGGACCTCGTATCTGCTCAGGTTTGTGCCGGCTAAATGTGCTCCTGGCCCTCGGATCCTCGGTGATACGGTGTTTGCTAGAAGCCAGGTGAGCACCCGCCGCGCAGGAGCCGATACGGTTCTTTAGCATGCCACACAGCGCAACCAACTGCTTGTTCAGCAATATAGTCATAATACGCGGACAGGCAGCAGAAAGTGTAACATTACATTTAACGAATCTTTTTTTGTCTTATAGGCGGAGGTCTTCGTCCGGCTCGTACGAGGGAGTTCTCCACGATCTCCAAAGTCCTCCGCTCCACGTGAAGCTTCACATCAAGATTGTCCTCAAAGGGACCAAAATCCACACGGTCTTTTTTATCGCCCCTTCATGGTGGACTACTTCAAATTTGGCTCAGAATATTACAGAGAGAGAGTTCAGGCCAGATCCGCCGCAGCTGGCTCAAGACCATGAACCACAATGGCAGTCGTAAGTTATGACAACAAATGGAGGGGCACGAGATGCGCTGAGAATTGGAGGAAAGCAGTCGTATTGCTGGGTTGTGGGGACGACTTGTACGAACGGTGTAGAACCTAGACCACGCACGTCGACAACTTTTGAACAGAGATTGGGAGGGAGCACGAGTGATTATCCGCTATCTACTTCATATATTTATTTTTCATGGCTCTCTCCATTGCTCCTTATATAGAGTACCCCAGTTAAACGCGTTCAAACGCACTGCAAAGCCCGAAACTCAGCAGGGCTTTCCACCACGACTTTCATGCCCTCGCTCACCACACCGCCCACCTCAACCGTGGCCATCACGCCAGCTGTTCTCGCTGCAATCTTGCCTTCGGCATCGCGTGTGATAAAGAGCTCCTTCAGTCCCGGACGAAACTTATCTATCTGCGGGCAGGGGTTGCGCACGCCTTGGAGGACAACAACCGGTTGCGGTTTGCCGTCGTCCTCGCTTCCCTCCCCAGGGACAAAGCGCAGCCTGGTTCCCGTCCCCATGGCGAGCAAGTCTAGTCCTGCCGTGGTGATGTTGTCCCCAATCTCGCCCGGCTGGAGATTGACAGCGTCGAGAATCTCCCTGGGAATGAGATGAACCTGGCGCAGGTTCGGCGGCGGCGGCTGGATGTGTAAGCGGCTGCGGTGCTGCACGTGCTCCCCGCTGTGGCAGTCGCCTTGGATGCCGAGACCGGTGATCAGTGTGAAGGATGGTACGGGTGTCTTGCTGAACCCGTGCTCGGTTGATGTTGCGAGTGCAAAGACGGACATGTTGACCGGTTGGACACCCTGGATTTGTGTAAACTTTGAATGTTTGAGGGGCGGCTGCTGTACTCGCGCAAGGAAGACGGGGAGTTGGCATATAACGGGTGGAGGTGGTAATAAATCGGCGTATGTTTACCCCGTCGTGAGACATGAGTTCAAGTTGGGCAGGAATATGCTGACCAAACAGTAAAGGGAAAGCCTGAAAGGCTCACGTCTGAGCAAAGTCACGTTGCATTGCATATCAGTTGGGTACGGTAAGCCCCGCAGATCGGTAGGTGTTGGCTACGACACTCACAGCCGAATGATATGACGATGGACAGTCTCTGAAACCCCGGACTCCGTTAATATGAGGTGAAGTAATGAAGTAACTTCCAGAACCTTCATAATGATTAAATGACACACATATAATCTTTTTACATCCACTTGCCAGCTAATAATTCCATCCAAACTTGCTTTGAACCCGATCATCAGCGCCCACCACCGGCCCACCCCGTGTAGATCTTGCGATGCCGATTCCGATCATACGACCACGTAAACATCTCCCCGCAAGCCTCGCCACATTTTGGCCCTGCCGGATTTCATGCATGCATTACGGAGGTGTACTGAGCCTAAACGATGGAGATGGCGAGGAAGGCCCCTCCAGCAGCTATGAGGTAGGTGACGACGCCGAGTCCGAGATGAATGATAGCGACGATGCGGACACTGGTGAGTAAGATAGCTTCTGGGCTTCATCCACATACTCCATGACCATTCAAAGGATATATGTGCGCTGTCGCGTTCGCTGAACGGACAATAATATACAGACCGCTATCAATAAAAATTGGGGCGGACGCTGCCAGTGTCGGAGAGTGTTCGGCAAGAGTGTGATGGCTGCTGTCATCTTGCCCCAACTACCACCAATATCGCTAAGTTTATTGGTGTGTTGTGTCTTGACGGTGCCGTTAGGAAATTCTAAAGCCTTTATTAGCTATATTTCTTAGAGATATGGTACAATACTGACCACGATGCAATGCCCAATTAACTGTCCCAAGATACGTCGCTCGGAGAGTAAGCGCTCGGCTTCCGTCTTGCAATAATTCTCTACCTGCTGAAACCGTGTGACAGCGTCTTCAAGACGGGCATTTGTTGCACCCTCCCAGCCTCCCCGGCTCACGATACATAAAACGTGGCTCATGCGTTTAGATTCAAATCCCTCTAATCAAACTGCAGTCAGCGGCCCGCGATGGAACGAAATGCAAGCGGGCTTTTGACGAGTCAGCCAGCATTGGACGCAAGAGGCTTACGTTAGGAGAGACAGTCACAAGTGGGAGAGTGGAATCCAGATTGGAGGGATCCAGTCTGCCAGGGGTGTGGTGGGCACCTGGTCTAAGGAGTATAAGTTTCACTCAAATCTCGCAATATCGCAGGATCTGGTTTGTTTCTAACTTTGGATTTCTCTAGAGATGGCCTCTGCCGACCAATGGCCTCGTAGAAGATTTCGGAGACCGGGTCTTAAGGAACCGCGTGGAGGACATTAAGTATGAGATCTTACTGCAAGATTTATGGCATGTCGGTAAGCGCGGCCCAGCTATCCGGAGATACTTAGATGTGTCTACCTGACGTCTTAAAACAAGCGAGTATGAAGGGGGGTAGAACCGATATGAAGCAACTTAAAGCGGCTTGTGGAGGGACAGTGTCGGCAGGGTTAACGACATACAAGTATGCAACGGCGTTCCACCGTAAAGATATCCCGCCGCCAGAGCTGCCGTAGGCAGCGTATCAGTTCTCACGAGATGATACATCTGTTTTAGTATCTTAGCTTTGCCAACCCCCGTTTTTGTTTCAACCTATTTAAGATTGTCCCCAAACCAAGGTACATTTCAATCTGTCGTCTACACCTTCCCCCCCCTTTGTATGACTTGACCAAGCGGCGTCGGTCCCGCCCGCTCGGCACCTTTCTGTTGTCAACCGTCTTTTGTAATCTGGGCGGATCGTCTTTTGAATACGGCAGATCGGTATGGAAGAAAGGAAGCAGATAGACGAGATAAGATCTCCGCGCCAGCCAAAGGCGTATGGCGTGTAAACAGATGAGATACGTTGAGGTAGATGTCGGCTAACGGTTGGTGACAGTAAGTCCTGCGTAGCCACCTACCAATACACTATCCCCTTCTCAACATCTCGGCCATTTGCTTGGTACAACCTAAGCCTGAGAGAACTCCTTCTCGTTTGTATTGGGCGCCGCCATCTCGCCTTAAACTGCCTCAATCCGGCTTTGCTTCGTCTCGTAGTGATCGAATGCCCAGAAAAGAACAACAACTGTGATGGTAAGGAAGACCAAATCAGACACATACGCTGCCTGGGCGACACCTCCGTAGTACATCAGGCTGTAATACGAGATGCTATCGTGGGTGTCGAACTTTTCGAAGGAGGTGTAGAAGCCATGGACGTGGTCGGCAAGGTAACCCCTCGTTCCCGGCGGAAATGGGTGGCGATAGGAGGGAGGAAATGAGTGACGGTTGCGAAAAAGAATCCTGAATTTATTTTCAGAAAATAACACTGTTGGCGTTAATGCAAAGGTGTAGTGGGGCAAAAGGCAACAGTGGCAAACTAAGGACCTTGGAGATGGTTGTTTACCGGTTCAAGGAACCCAACATGGAGGAGGCGAGAATGCAGAGCTGGAAGAGGTGCAGAAGAGTAGCGAGTATGAAAGTGTGCTGGGGAAGTATTACCGGCACATGGGCAGCGAGACGGGCATTCATGTGTACAGAAGCAAAGACGGGACCACGGTGGACCAGAGAATGATGCACTGGAAGTTTATTCCGGAAAATGGGAAACAGGTGAAAGCTTTTGCAAGTGAGCGGAGGGAGGCCCTCGAGGCGTTGCTGGGGTGGACTGGGTTTGATGATTTCCTGAACAAAAAGGGGGGTCATGGAAATAATACGATGGAGGAGGCTGGGGAGAATGCTTGATTTTGAACTTTGAGTTTTCGGTCAGTAGGTCGGTGGGTTGGTAGGTAGGACTTGTGGTTGAACTGAGCTGAATCACGATGGTGACGATGGTCTGGAGTTCGAGTTGCATGTGAGAGAGTCGGCGTGGAACAATTTTCTGGTAGTTTGATCTTTGTGGTACGAAGCCACGTCGCCAGGGAACGCAGGCACAACGCCGATCAAAGGATGACGTTCATTGTGTCCCATTTCAAAACGACCACATACCTTACCTACTCATGGAGAGATAATATCTCTATTTTCCCTTCTTGCTATGCGATGAATGCCTTTTATTTCTAACTCTTCCACCGCCTGCGTTGGTTAGAGTTTCACAAATGATATTTGAATATCTATCAGCAAGCGAGAAAACCAAAAAAGAACCTAGAACAATGGTATCGCCGCAAAAAGAAGAGACAATACTGCACAAGCAAAAAGGCTTGGTTGGTGAATGCTCGAACGCGGGATCGAACCGCGGACCTTCAGTGTGTGAGACTGACGTGATAGCCACTACACCATTCGAGCTGTTTTACTATTGATTAGGTTGTGTTGATGGTGGTGGAGGTGTTGGAACAGTTCATGTGGAAGGTGCGGTGTTTGTTTGCCTCGGGGAATCCACCTTTGGCGGGTCTGATTTGTGCTCAAGTGGATGAGTTTGTTTGGCTTTTCCACAACATGATATTGGCGATGGTGGATACAGGCAGTTGAAAACAAAATTGCCACTTGTAGTTAACGGCTGGCAGTGAGGTGAGGGTTGATGCACGACCCTGGGTTTGTATGAAGAATTGGTAACCACCTGAAGAGCCCCGAGGCTCTAGGTCTACTTCTTATTTCCACAAGCGCCATCAGGCGCCAAGGACATGTATGTATTTGATACATGAAGGTCTTCCTGAGTTTCCTTGCTATCATGTTCCAAATCCATTCTCCAGATGTAAAAGTCGAATTGTTGAGTAATCTCTCTCCATCGAGTCCAGCCGACGCAAGAGAGTCGGTAATCCAAAAAACAACCACCCCTAGTAACAAAAACAAACCAACCAAGCCACATCATACAAGAACTTCCAGGCATTGAATAGCCACGTGGTTGTCGCGCTGTCGATCGGAGACATTGCCGGTGGCCCTTGATATCTCATCGACCGTCACCCAGACTGCTGCCTAGTGAGGTTATCGTCGCCGGTCAGCAAAGAAGTTCCATCATTATTTCCTTGTGGTTCGGCCAGACGTGGTGGGGGGACCACGAGGATAGAGTGATTACTTACCGTATGCTCGATCAGGTTGCCGTCTTCATCGCGGCTGTGATCATTTCCACGGTCACGATCTTCGTCCGCTTGACTTCCTCGTCGCTGCCCCACAGTGTCCAGGTTTCCATCGCCGGCCAGACTCCGTTTTTCGGGTTGATGTGGTCCGACGTTGCGGGCGATAGTCGATCCGGGCGGTAACGGTCTAACTCGACAGCTTGACTTTTCTCGTCGCTGCCCCAAAGAGTCCAGACTCGACTCACTCTGGGTTTGTCGTAAGCTGTTTCCGGGCTGGCGTAGTTCGACATTGTGATCCCGGGGGTCTCACTCGGCAAATTATCGCTAGAACAATCGGTCAATTGGTCAATCGTCGCCCAATATCTAAGGTAAGAACAGGGTCAACCGAGGTACCTACATTTACCTAAATATGGAATGGACAGATTGAAATTTGCGAAAAGGGGTATGCCTGCTGAATGAGTTGGATCGTGGACTAAAAGTGCTGGCTAACAGTTGAATGCAGTATTGGGAGAGCAAACAAACGGAGTTGATCTAGCAAAACAGAGCTGTGGAGAGAACGAGAGGCAAGTGAGATGGAGAAGAGATCTTGCTCTGATCCAGTCCGGAAGGGAAGGGGTTATCTGTATATACCTAAGTGGCGAGTGAGCCGGCAGGGGCAAGCCCAAATAAAGTTCACGAAACAAAGGGCTGAGCAGGAGTGTACCAGTCATCGACAAAAAAGATGGCACGCCTTCTGCCCTTGGTGTAAGGAAGGCGACTGATTCAGATCGTCATCGACGGGGAGGGATAAGAGGTCATCCGGTTTCTGACCTCCGGCCCCTCGTGATTGCCGTGTTAGCAGGCTCTCGTTAGAGCTCTGGATCTCCCCGGAAGGCCGGCGGTTAACGCCTCTGTTGCCACGAAGGGCGTGGGCCACTTAAATCGCGATGAACCGTGACAATCATTGTTATTATGAGAAACAGTTTAGCTAAGCATCTATCTTACTCGTGTAGTCGAACTAGTCTACCTTAAGGGACACTTGTACTTCAACCATTCTTGCACCTGACTCGTACGCGCCCGCCACTCCGTGGGAAAGTCCGAATCCTCGCATATATAGCAATGCCTTCCCCCGTCTTTTGCCCCCGTTGCAAGGTAAGTTTTGCGGGAGATAGGACTTGGTGGAATTTGAAGTTTGCAAGTGCAGGGTAACTTTTGGTTGGCAAGTGCAAGGTAAGTTTTGGTGGTAGGCAACTGACCTCTTGTTTTCTTACGTCCTCTGTCAGTTTGCATTAAATTTATCAACTTGCAAAGAAAGAAACACCGTCGAGTCCGACATTGCGCCCGAATGAATCTGCAACCTCCTGCCAATGAATAGCCCCAACCCGTCAGTCATGCCACTGTTCCAATACGCGGAAACGATCCTTCGTCAGCACTAACCAACTGGCCATGTCCAAGCGACGTTGTCGGCGATGATTACCCCCTATCCACCAATCACATACGTCGGGTTCATTTCACGAAACTGCCAACGACGCGGAACGATACTAGTACATACCACTCCATATTCGGCTGCAATTCATACTATCCATCTTACTTGAACGTAACAAGAACAGCCTCGCTCTCCCTGACCGACACCTTCTCGCTCGGCCCCAAAGCCTCAACAGTTACCTCTCCCACCGCCTTACCATTCCGAAACGACTGTCCCGCCCACGTAACCTTGGCCGAATCCTTCTCGTCAACACTCGGAGCAGTCATGCGCTTGACAGTCGCGCCTGAGTGCTCCCCAATATCAAGAGACAATGTCGACGGAACCCCGTTTCCGCCAACATAAAATGGCTTCATATTCAAGATGACCAGCTTCGTCGGCTTTTCTCCCCTCCCAAAGACAGCATACGCCGAAAACTCTCTCTCTTGGATCCCAGCAGGCGTTTTCAGGGCAGCGATCCGTCCACCACCCCCCAACGCTTCGGTCACAAGCAGCTGCGACACGAAAACCGGCAGCACGCGCGCCTCGCCCCGTTTGCTCGAATCGATCGGATAGAGCAGGGAATAGCTACTAAAACCCGGGGTACCGTCGTCTCCGGGCGTGTTGAGCTGCTGGTTTGACTGAAACACGAGCGTGGCGCCCTGGTGCAGGTGCACGCTCGTCGCGTTGCGGACCGCATAAATGAGTTCCACGTCGGCGGTCCAGAGCGCCTGCGCGAACGTGTCGCTGACGTTAGGCTTGCCGCTGCAAGCGATCGAGTTGAACTCGCCGATGGCCCACTGCGCTCCCGAGTCCATGGCCGCCTTTGCTGAAGGGTAGATCTCCGAGTCGGCGTAGCGGAGCAGGTCGGTGTGGTTGAGGATGTTGGCGATAGTAGCGCGTCGCTCGCGCGCCGGGTCGCACGTCGCGAATGCGTAACTGTGGATTGAGTACTGCCCGACCTGGCCCGTCGAGTTTACGCCCGCGGGGATGAGGTCCGACGGCCGGACTTTGAGGCCGGTCACGTCGGTGGTTGCGCTCGACGCCCACCACTTACCGTGGCTGGTGTTGCTGATGGCCGCGTCGATCTGAGACGTAAAGCTGCGCCATTGCGAGACGTAGGCCTCTGTGCTGCGCTTCCAGCGGCTTTCGGGGTAGTTGGTTGGCTCGTTGCCGAGTTCATAGTACACGATCTTGTCGCGCTGCAGTTTGTATGATGCAACGGCGAGCCCCTTGGCGATATCGATCGAGTTGTTGCCGAAGTTAAGAGTCGAGACAAAAGTTGTTCCCTCGGGGAAGTTGTCCCACTGCTTGTAGAAGGCCGGTCCGATGGTGGTTCTGTAGATGCCACCCTTGCCGTTCTCGGTGCGCACCGCCGAAAGCTTTTGACCAGGATCGTAGATCATGCTGTCCATGGAGATGCCGCCAGCCCTGATAATGGGCCTCGCTCCGCGCTCGTGGAGGTGGTTCAGCAGAGTAAATGTGAGGTTTCTGGGAGAGTCCGGCTCGCCGAAGAACTCGGCCCAGAACGCCGGCTCAAACGAGTAGCTTACAAATTGCGAGACATGGGCCTGGGAAATTGGGGATGATGGTTTCTTTGAGTCGAGCGTATAGGACGGGACATCAGCTGCCAGAGAAATTGCTGTGAGCAGTGAGCCCGCCGTCAAAGCGGTGTATAGCATCATTGCGTAGACCAGGAGACGATGTCAGGGGTTGGTTGCCGTGAGGCTGGGCGGAATGAGCAGGATCCAGTATCCAGGTCGAGTCCGGTAGTTATTTATCTACCCAAGTACCCGTAATATCGTCTTCTCCCCCGGCCACGCAGGCTGTCCTGAGTCCGAGTCTTGGCATCTTACAGGCCGCATGCGGGCGGATAATTGATTTAGGAGACAGTTGTGCGCAGGTTAATAAGTAGCCATCCACTCGGTTAAGGTCCGCGGTTCGATTTTTCCATGGAGCGGGGGTATCCGGGTTAGCTCTAGGAGAATGAATGATCTACGGAGGGGATTCCTAGTGTAGGATTATCTTCTCCCGGAACGTAATCTGCTAAGCCCATCATTACGCCCCATGTCAATTCTGATGTAAAACGGGGTCGCGATGTTGAACTCGGAGGTGAGGTCTGAACCGAAAAAACCAACATTGCTCTTGTTCGGCAAGGCTGTTCGAGAATGACATAATGAAGCGTCCACATTCAACAGCTAGAAATAAAAAATACCAACAAGGGGACACCGCGTGATTTGAGGGACTTTTGGATATCTTTTAAGACCTTGCCTTGTGAAATCCGGATTGCGTCTCTCTCCACGCTTCTACTTCATCTTTCTCTGTATGTCAGATCACCAGCCAAATGCCCAACCGTATCGCAAACGAAGGTGGAATATTGTGTACATCTCAGTCAGGAAAGATAATACGGAAGGAGAAAAGACTCCCATTACCGAGAATAGACGCAGCCAAGAAAGTAAATTACTGCATACCTATGTGAGAGATGGACGAAATATCAAAGATGCCTTATGACAAGCCCGAGTGATTGCGCCGGATCCATCCGCCCATGCAACTATGCTCACTGTCGACCGCCCTCAAGTTTGTTCTTGGGACCGACCTATCCGTAGTCCTCATATCACGAGCAGGACTTCAGCATTCCCGAAATGAAATTTGGTCGACGCTGGCTGGACTCACCGTTCCCTGTCTGTTGGGCCACCTTATATCCCAGTCTGGGCTGCTGATTCTGCAAGTTCAATCCTGAAAATCCGAGCTCCTCGGGAGTTGCGTTGATGCGGAAAACGGATCGCCCCAGGGGGAACCGGTACCTGTTAGAAGTCCTTTGGTTGTCCGCT